GCCACGCTCAACCTTGCCCATTCAAATTCAGCCTTCTCTTACCCGCGGGTAGCACGTACGGCCCCGTGAAAGTTATTCACGAGTAAGTTAATATCTCGGGAGCCTCGGAGTCTGGGAGGCTGAAATTTAAGAATAATGACCCCCTGCCCACGCTCAACCTTCCCATTCAAATTCAGTGTTCTCGCGCTCTCGGTTACCACCTACGGCCTCGTGAAAATTTTGACGGACAAACTATTAACTCGGATCGCGGAAAGATATTCATCCCTCCAAGGTTTCGAATTCAGCTTTCATACGCAGGTGCGTGAAATTTTTAAATGTTTTCCAATGTTTGAACTATTTTTGCATAGACTGAAGTACGAAGCAGTGAAAATCATTAACAGGCAACTATTTTTCAGTGTTTGAACTATTTTTGCATAGACTAAAGTACAAGGAAGTGAAAATCATTAACCGTCTGGTTTTCAATGTTTGAACTATTTTTGCATAGACTAAAGTACAAAGCAGTGAAAATCATTAACAGGCAAATATCGTTATGGTAGAACTATTTTTGCATAGACTAAAATACAAGGAAGTGAAAATCATTAACAGGCAATCGTTCGATGGGTTGAACTGCACAAAGACGCATGATCGCACCGGCTAGTCTGGTGCGCGTTGCTATTTATTACAATTACTTTGCACAAAACGCATGATCGCACCGGCTAGTCTGGTGCGAGTTGCCATTTATTCTTCCTGGTGCGCACCAGTATCAGAATACCACCGGAATTAATGACCGAATCGTAGAGGGATTAGTTTTTATCGCACATCTACCACAACCCCAACATAATTGCTTAAAATGATTAATTTTGGCTGGGTTTCCATGGCCCTTTCTTTCCTTTCTATTTGCTGTTGACGGATTCAAGCCTTCGATCATCAGCAAAACAGCAGTGCTATTTTCCATTTCACAATACTCACTAGTATAAGTGTTGTAGAAATTTTAAAGATACAAACAGTGAACATTCCTGGTCTGAGGAATTG